ATAGTTTTCCCGCTTTAGTTTTATCAAGAATGCGAGAGAAGAATTTTCATCTTCTTGTTACAGGCGATAAACAGCAATTCACGGCGGCGTTCTAGATGCACATTTGAAGGAGATTCCCGATGCAGATTTACGATCTCGTATTTTCTCGTCTGCCTCTGCAAATGAATGTTTCTCAGTTGCTGGTTTAGTGCTTTTCATTTCCATGTTTGTATAGGTTTGCAGATCTTTTTGTCAACGCTGAATCTGAATGAAGCAATAAATCGAGGACTTGTATTGATTCGATTCTGTTTCTTCTATTTATTACACGCAGAGATATAGTCGTCTTAGTTGAAAGTTTGCAATTGTATTCAATTTATCATTACGCTAGTTTATTCTTTCATGAAATAACATCTCAAAGGTTTGTTTCATTGGGAAATTACAGCGTTATAAACTCCAAAAGTTCAGACATTCATTGACATTTATTGTGAAGATATCAATAACTTTTGCTGCTTTTCTGCGTTTCCAACTTCCACAAACTGAAAAATAGTTCAACTATCATTCCGCTTGCACTGAAGTGTCTGAAACTAATGATAATTCCCAGTCGGTTTTGTATTCCGTATATCTGGTGACGTCATGCATCATTTCGCTAAACTCCTTCTTAGGAGTATGGAGAATGATGAACAGCAACTATTGCTGCTGCTTTCCATAGTTTATTACGATAATTGCTAACTGAAACCACGCAAACTCTCCAGAATCAAAATGAAAAGTGTATTGATGTCATCATCAAATCTACATTGATTTGGTTTCTATTATAGCATAACAATTTAGAAATTTCTGAAAAAGAATGTTTAGGCATTCTGCTAGCCCACCTTCATAAAAAAATTGTGGAAATCTTCCAAATAAAGAAAGAAAGCAACTATTTTTGACATAAACTTTATACAAAGATGTGTACCTCATGCGGAAGAATAATTTTCAGACTGAAACTGGAAAAAATTCTCTCGGAACATCTACCTTCATATAAATATTGAACTGTTTAGTTTGCACTTCACACATTTGATATAGAATTCGTGACGGGAAAATGGATTAACGGGGGGTGTCTCAGTCAAATTTCGAAATCAAAACTGTGGTTTACTTCGCCAAGCTTTCGTTTCTAATGGAAAGCTTTTTCAGACCAGTGAAAATGAGTATGAAACAATGAATCAAACATACAAATTGATAAAAAAAGTGAAACATGTGTAGGATTTCTTGGTTGAAATCAATTGTTGTCTTCTTTCATTTGGAAGATTCCCAAATTTTTTCAAGACAAAATTCAAGTGCCACAGGAAATTCCTCAAGGCGCTATGAGAGCGGTGCCTATGCTAAAGTAGCGATTCACATTGGATCTGAATCCTTCAGCCTTGTTCCCATGGATCTTTTGGTGGTTCCGATATATAACTTTCCACAAGTGCACGATATGCGACAGATCCCTGCTGCTGATAGTGGGTCCCTTTGATCGTTTACCAATCTGAGGCTTTGTTTTATATTCCTGATGGATTCAAAAACTGTTTGATTGTCGTGTTTTCCTAATCATGGAAACAAAAAAATCATAATAAAACCGATTCGCAATTATATTGACAAGCCAAACGTTTTACCAGTGTCTCAATCGGGATTCAGACCCAATCATAACTGCACGAGTGCCCTACTGAAAGTAGTTGATGATATTTATACATCAATTGATGACAATTAATTAACACTACTTGTTTTAATAGGTTACTCTTAAAGCATTTGGCAAAATAAGTCACCGCCTTTTGGTTGCTATTTTGAACCATTCAGGTTTCTTATACTCTTCTTCTACACTGATTAATAACTATTTTAATGGAAGATATCAATGTGTAACTTTGGTTTCTTGAATATATCTGCAGGTGTACCTCACGAATCAATTCTGGGTCCTACGCTTTTCGTAATCTACACATCCCAATTTCCAAAAGTGTCTCCATCACACCAAAATTCATAGCTACGCTGATGACACCCAAATTTATAAACGATTTTCGGAATCTTCTGTAGCACTAGCGTGTGAGCAAATGAATGCAGATTTAAAATCCTTACTCACGAACTCAAAGAAGTACTGCCTGGCAATCAATCCCTTCAAAAAGTAGTAATGCTATTTGGTCGAACAGCAATGAGGAAAGAAATATCTATATCGTTCTGGACGAGAAACAGTTGCCTTTGACAGAATCTAAGAAAAATCTTGGTCTAATAATTGACCAATCCCTGACGTTCAACTCTCATGTCTCCCAAATTATAAAACGTGGCTATAGTGATTTGGAATCAATATACTTAAATAGAAAGTCAAAGTTGCTGCAACAAATATGCTTGCCGTTCCAATCTTACTCTACTCGTTTGGAGTAGTGAAGTGGACTCGGGAGGAGCTGTATCAACTCGACGTTAAAAAAAAAATAATAATAATATTTATTCATCCATGTTGCATACAAAATAGAATTAACATCTTGAAGGTAATGATGAATAAATTGCAAATCCACTGAGAGGTTAACCCTGTGTGTGGTTAAATTAACGAATACAAAAAAACAAATGTTACATATAACACAATCACAATTACTCACGTAGAACAATTTGTCGTAATAGAAAAAAAAATATAATAAAATATCAATGTCATACATTCCCGCATTGATAGACAAAATCAAAGGTTACAAAAAAAATTAAGAAACAAACAACCACATACAGACAGATCATGGAAGTCCATACTTTTTCGTGAAGATAACAAATATTGAACTTTTGCACATTATCCATAGGTATTGATAAACTAGGAAGATACAAATATTGACTAAATTATCAATATGAAATATATAAAATACAATAATATGCATGTATTGAGTAGAATGCAGAAAGGGCCAAGTTCATACTTTAGTTGTGTGAGATTCAAATTTCATGATTTACAACTGTTTATCTTTTGTCTCGTGTAACTGGATCAAATTAAATCATGAACACTCTCTCTAGGTAAGTTCTTCATAAATCTGACTAGTTTACTTTTGAATTGGTTGATATTACCTATCTCTTGAATATTCGAAGGTAAGCTGTTGTATAGTTTTGAACCCAAGTATTGATGACATTTCTGGCCCACTGATTTATGCACACGAGGACATTGGAACTGCTTACGATGCCTAGTACTATAGTCATGGGTGAGTGTCATGTTTATGTTGTCATGTCATGTTTATGTTGTCATGTCATGTTTGTGTTGTCTTATGTTACAGTTTTTGTAATACAATTGTCTTACATCTAGTAATCCCGATTATTTATAAATTGTATCATTTGGATATCTCGAGCTCTATGACTTCAAGAGGATGGAAGTGACGTTTAAATATACCTCCCCATCCGAGTAGTCCATAAGTGATGTGACTTTCCACAAGACTGTGATAGATTATCTTTTTTTGTTTCAGGTCAAGAATATCATTCAACTGTTAGAATTCATAAAGAACAAATCGAAGTTTTTTCAGGAGAAAGTTGATGTGATGGTCCCATTTCAGATGTACATTATTCGTGTATTGTTTTCTAGAGATAGAGAATCAAATTTGGGCATTGTTGTTTCGTAATTAGAAAAAGGTAAGGAATAAGTTTCATCTATGTTGATAGTTAGAAGCTTGTTGTCAAAGAACGATTTGATTAGGAAAAAATCTGATTCTATATCTTCTTCAAAGTAGGCCATGACTCGCCCCCATAAAACATTGCAGTATCATCTGCAAAGCTGATTAATTTTCCTTTGCTCTCGATGGAAAAGCTGTTAATGTATATTGAAAATAGTATCGGCCCCAGCACGGTACCCTGAGGCACACCATATTCAATTCTTCTGAAATCACTATGTGTTTCATTTATTCCGACATATTGTGTTCGATTCACAAAGTAGTTTTTAAATAACAGTGGACAATTTTCTCTCATCCCAATTTTTTCCAGTATAGATATTGAAATGGTGTGGCTCACGGTATCAAAAGCCTTTGCAAGGTCTACGAAAATGACAAGACATGGTCTACTTTCATCTAAGGCTCCATAAATATGATTTGTAAGCTCAATAATGGCATCTTCCATTGATTTGCCCCTTTTTGAAACCGTACTGCTTATCAGATAGAAGTTTATATTTATCCAGATAATTGGATAACCTAATTTCTATAATTTTCTCAGAGATATTACTAAAGTTCGTAATGAGAGAAATCGGTTTATAATTGGTAGCCTTCGTTGGTTCCCCGTTTTTGAATATAGGACATATGACAGATTTTTTGAATTCATCAGGGAACTGTTCAGTTTCAATGCATTTATTAATAATATAAGTAAGAGGACTAGCTATCTGACTCGCAATCTCCTTGAGAGTTTCCGCTTCAATATTATCTATACCAGGCGACTTCCGGTTTTTGAGATTATATATAATTCTTGTGGCTTCATCTTCTGATGTTGGACTCAAGAAAATTGAATTATTTGTTGAGTTTCCTCTCATTGGATTTGAATTGTTTCTCAAAATTTTTTCTGCCAATGATTCTCCTAGATTAAGATATGTTTCATCACAAAAATATTATTATTATCAATATTGTTAAATATCACCGTCAAATTACCTAATCCAATTGGTAGCACTACAGAATAACTGAAACAGCATAAATACGCGTAACGAAACCATAATTTTCAGTCATCGAATATCAATCCAGAATGTATTAACCTATGAAGAAGCTAGCCACTGGCACCAGCGAAACGTCAGGAAGGAATTTCAAAAATCCACGTCCTTGCAACCCGAAAAATAGTGACTCTGGAAACCTCGGCCGCGAAGGATCTAACCATTCGTTGTAAATGTTTGAAAATGTCCTTATAGGACGAAACTGCAGCAACAGTAGTTACAAATAAAAGTGGTAAAAACATAGAAAGTTATATTCCTCATTTTTCATGATGATCTCCACCCACGCAGTAACGGCTACATCCATCATTTACAACATACATAAATATAAAATAGAATATATGAAACAGACTGTCACTCTTCACCAACTAACCTGCATCTCCATATTCTGTCAAATGAAACAGCAGCAGGAAAAGCGTGAATATCGTGAAGTGGAGATGTGTGGTATTCTTCATATCCGTTGCATCGCTCATGCCACATTTTGTTCGGCCTCATGTTGCGCATTCCCACACGGTTTTCCGGAAGTACAAGTGGCAGACGAGCGTCGACTTGAAGTAGGTTTGAAGTTGACGGGTCGCGAATCTGAAACAAAGTAAGGTTTTACTTCACATTATCTGTCCGAGAGGGAAACACGGGGGTAATTATTAGTCGGATCCAAAAGTTGAAATTGGTGTTGATTGGAAACAATGTAAATATGAGTGATTTAACAAGGAACATTGCAAATGTCATTGTCAAATCGAGCTGTAAGACTTCCTTGCTCTTTTTTAAGTAACAACTATCTCTTCAATCCAGTAGCGGTTGAAACTTTTGGTGATTTTGGCCCGGAGTCCCTGTTATTCGTTCATGAACTCGAAAGTAGAATAGGCCAAGCAACGAAAGATCACAGTTCTTCTTTTTTGAAAGGGAGAATTAGTATCGCTATTCGACGTGGTAATGCTGCTTCGGTCCTTAACACTATTACTTCTTCACATAATTCTGATGATATCATGCATTGCCCTCATTTCAGCACGGAGCTAAAATCTCTTCGAAACAAGCCGAAATATGTGAATATTCATCAGTCTCCTATCTAGGGTAATTCGCAAATGATTGATCCACCTTTTTCTTCTTCAGTGCGGTCTGAGATCATTCTTGCTCTCCAAATATGAGTTGCAGCCTTGTGGTTTTAGTGGAAGAGTTTCATGAAGCAAGAGCCGAACCAATCCCTCTACGAAACCCTTGATCACTTGGAAAGGTCGATCGCAGCTTGGGAAATGGTTTTTATGCAGATTATGTGAAACATGTTCTTTCTTACGAATCAGTAAGTTGTCCTGAAAATCTTGAGTAGAAAACTGGATCAGATAATTTAGGAAACGCTACATATTAATAGCATTTTACAAGTGTTGTTCATAACGAAGATTTTCAAGAACGAGGTTTTAATGATGAACGAGAATGATGATGTTTGTTGAGAAAGCTGTTGAGAAAGCTCCAACGTTACGGAAGCAGAGGAGTAACTACCTAATGGGACGGAAGCAAATGTCAAAACCACTCAACTTTCAAAAAAAGAAAGGAAAATTGATTCTGGAGTTCCACAAGGTTCTTTATTGGGTCCCATTGTTTTCTTATTATATATTAATGACCTTACCAAGCTTAATATTTCTGGGAAGTTCACCTTACATGCAGATGACACTACCATACTTTGGAATAATAAAGACACTTGTGAGTTGCACAAAATAATCTCCGCCGACTTGGAAAAAGTTGAAGATTGGTGTGATTCAAACATTTCATCTTTTAACTTAACTAAAACAAATTTATTATCATTCAGATGCTCAATCAACGAACTCTTTTTTGAAGACAGGTCACTGGAATTTAAAAATAACACTGAATTTCTAGGAGTTTCCATTGACCAGAATTTAAAATTTGTAGATCATGTTGAACAACTAACTAGAAAAGTCTCCTCTGGCTGTTATGCAGTCAGAGTGATTTATAAAGAATTGGGGTTCAACACTGCAAAGATGGCGTACTTTGCACTCATAGATTCTCACTTAGGCTAAGGAATACCGTTTTTGGGGACCATGCAGTCCAACTTCATTCAAAAGTCTACTGATTTTACAGAAAAGAGCAATAAGGTATATAGGAAACCTCAAACTAAGAGACTCCTGTAGAACATTCTTCAAAAAATATAATATTCTAACGGTGACTGCATTATTTATACTGGAATCTGTGTGTTTAATAAATAGTGTATATTAAACTTTGCTGCATCCTCTTCCCATTATAACACCCGAAACTGCAGACATACTCTGAAACTCACTGTGCCAACTAAAAACATTACCAGAGACTCCATATTTTACAACGGTGGAAAAACGTACGATCATTTGCCTATGGACATAAGATCTGCCAATACAACTGACTTCCATTTCAGGAAGTTAGTCAAACAATTTCTATCTGATAGACCCTATTATACTCTGGATGGATATTTTAACGGTAGCTTTTAACTGACTTACGCATATTTTTTATCTTAACTCATTAAGGAGCTCTTAAGTTGTTACTTTTTATGTCTACTCTTTTATAAACTTGACTTTTACTCTTTTATATATACATATCTTTTATATTCTCCATTTTAACATAGTTTGTACCAATGCACCATTTATATTTTTATTGCACAGTTGGTATGTATTGCTTTTTTAAAGTATGTACTACCCAAGCTTTGTCTACAAGATTATGTCTTATGATAATAAAGCATATTATTATTATTATCATTATTTTCTGTTTATTCGCCAAACTCAAACACCTGTTCATGCAGCTGCAGTTGTGTAACCGATTTCCGATGAAACTCGAAACTTCACGATTGTATGAGAACAGGTAGATAATGATTTTCTAGTTACCATCATCGTTAATTCTGCAAATTATATGATGATGACCGTGTGGTTTGAGCGGGGTCGAGTTGGATGATTTGTATTGGTTACCGCACAATATTACCTATTAGTACGTTCACAGAGGTGACACCACATAATGATATCATTAGACTCCAGCCGCTATTTCGATTATACTCGAAACAGGTGTCATATTGACGTCTCATATTCGAATGTAATAGAGTGAGATGAGTGTCATTGGCGGATGACTAAGTAGGTATGCTGAGGAATAATTTTTCACGAATCGAATATTTCTATTAACTAGATTGTCTCAAAAATTGTCGATTCAAATCAAGTCAAATACGTTTATTTCCCAATAATGTTGGTAGGTTAGTATTACACCAGTTTCCTCTGTGGGGTACTGCTATAGGCTCGTGCCTCTTCAGGGGCTGTGTGAATCACAAAAATAAAAATTCTTTTATGTGTATCTTGATATAGGTTAGTGGTTTATGTTAAATTGTTTCTGGGAATTTTCTTGGGGATTGCGGTTCTCGTTTCTCATGTAGGTCGAGTTGTCCTTGATGAAGTTGTTAGGAGTGATCCGGGTACAGTTACTCCGGGATATCCTCCAGGGCTTCTAGGAGCCTGGCTGGAGAAAATGGGAGCGTTTCCCTTGGGGCCTTTCTTGGGCCTCCGCGGGACGTCTTGGGGGTGGCCAGCGTCTCGGTTTCGATGGTGTTGCTGCTGCTGATTGTTCTGGTGACATATCTTTCTTGGAGTTCCTGGATTCTCAAATTTATCGGGGTCAGTTTGACGGTGTAATACAGGGTATTCCAAATCAAGTCGGCATCATTGCCAACTCCTTTATTATTGATGCTACAAACTCAGTTGAATGGGCAAACCATTCAACCATTAAACCATAGGCCTTCTCGATGCCGAAAACAAAAAAAAAATTGACAGTCGCGTTTTCAAAATATTTCATGAAATGATGATTTTTAAAAGAAACACACTATATTTTATCATACACGATTCTCAACAACAAAACCCATATCATATTTTTTCCAAAAGTTGAAAATTAGCGACTTATGTGGAAATATTTATTCATTTCACCAGAATAAAAAATTATTTGTTTTGGCAGATAAAAACTCATTATTGTCCAAACACCCAGTATACAATATTTTGTTACTAACAGCAAAAAGAAAAAATTGCGCAGGGATTTGAACTCGTGATCATCATGTCGTACCATTCACTTGACACCTCTGAACTGTTTGGTATCAATAATGGTATTAAAGTGACATCATTGATGCCGATTTTATACAGAACAGAAAATACTGAAGGATCATATTATTGTGGTTGGAAAAAAAATTATTTGATTCGATAAAACATAATTATTAAGAGTAATTGAATTACCTTGAAACTTTGTTGGAATACTATTTATGAAATATTCTAAAGTACATCATGAACATCTCATGAATTATTGTAACTGTCAACTACTGTTCGAATATTGTTTGAATTGCCGTTCTTCCATTTGGTTTGCCAGAAAAATAGCATAAGAGCACTCTAACACTACTGCAATTCGTTCCCCGATCGTGAATTACCTAATCGACGTTTTTTTGCTGTGTTTCATCGTCCATTCAGAAACAGTGAAAAAGTTTTTGAGAACAGGAGAACCAAAAAATGTTTTTAATATCTGAAGATACAGAAATTGACGTTTAAGCCTACTTTGAGATGAATCCAAATGATTCCATCAGATATTTATCTAGAGAAATATCTGTTTCACCGTCTTTTATTCAACGAATTCTGAAGACACATAAAATTTCAGTGGAAACACTAGAACTTGGTGACCCTTAGAGACGATTGAGGTTTGGTCGGTGATTTATGAATGAATACAGACAAGATCCAAACTTCTATAGAAATCAGTGACACTGTTTTTCGAGTTTGAAAACCGTGGATTCTTGGAAATTCTTCCTGACGTTTCGCTGGCGCGCTTGCTACAAATGTTCCTGTTGAGTGGCCTCTTCGTTCACCAGACATGACAGACCATCAAAAATGTTACTGGTTTGCCCATTTAACCAAATTCGTAGCATCCATAATAACGAAGTTGGCAATGGAACACCCTGTATAGTTTGTTGGAGGAGATTAGGTTGGAAAAGTTGTCTATGTTTCGTTGTATTCTCCTCTCTGTGGTTCGTCTACTGTGTGTCCGTCTCGGGGAGATCGCGCAGTAAATCATGGCTTCATAGTCCAGGATCGGTCTTATGAACTTCTTATAGGTGTGTAGTATGGTTTTGCTGTCTCATCTTCCGAGCTTGCCCCTCAAGACTTTAACGAGGTTTGTTCTTTTCCGGACTCTGTCTAGAGTGTCTCTCAGGTCGGTTCCCAGTTGAGGGTTCCCGTGAAAGTAACCCCCAGGTGGGTCAGCAAGTCTTGGAGAGGAGGTTGTTCTCCTAGAAGTCGAAGGTTCAAATCTTCCAAAGGAACAATTTGTTCAAGCCAGTCTCAAGTCCCTACACTGTAGGTTAATAGACACACCTATCAGAAAATGACTACTCGTCTGGCTAATACAACGAAGGGCATTGGATTATATCCGACAGGTATCAGTGCAGATTTCTTCACTGAAGTTATTCCTTCATATGCTGTTGGCGACACAACTGTCGCAATAGATTTTCAATAATTGGAACACACTGGCAGACCGGTGTCGGGCAGTCCAAGGTAGTGTCTATCATCGACATAAAGTCGATGATTTCCGATAATTGAAAATCGAATTCCTTCAGAGTATCATTCCTCAAACTAGGCAGAAGCGAATAACAAACAACATGTTTGTCATCGC